GTGACACAAGAATGCGGAAGTGATGTATTATACAACACTTCCGCATTCTTGCAGCGGAGAGGGGACCGGAGAGAGCTCGTGTACCGAGCTCTCTCTGATCCCCTGTGTCACAAGCGACATGCTGATCCCGGGCTCGCACCAGGCACAGCGGAGCCCGGGATCAGCGGTACAACGGTAGGGGGGGGGCGCGGATGGGGGGGACGGGACCGATCGGCACCCCATACACGCGATCCGCCGGCTCTACAGCCGGCGGATCGCTTGTATGGTGACAGGCATCGCTGCCTGTTTTTTACATTTCGGCCATTTCCCGCTCGCGCGCGCGGGGGGGCGTGTCTGAGCGGACGTCTAAAGACGCCCGCTCAGATCTAGAGAGCTCGGGCCGGCCGTTTTTTTACTACGGCCGCTCCCGGAGGTGGTTAATGTAATTTTATTGGTATCTATCTACCATTAGCTGCCTTATTTCCCACCCTCGGCTTATATTCGGGTCAATACTTTTCCCCAGTTTTTTTTTGTAAAATTAGGTACCTCGGCTTATATTCGGGACGGCTTATACTCGAGTATATACGGTACATAAACAATGTATAGTGGGGATTCCTCAGACTCAATGGGCAAACCCCCCCTTTAGCCAGCACAAACAGTAATTAGACGTTCCTCGATGAGGAAAAGGGCTATGAATTGTAAGGGGTTGGGAGTTGTGCTAGGGAATTTTTCAGCGCTACTGCAGTCGATTCACAGAAAACAATTTGCCTAAAAAATGTATTCAGTGGGTCATGATGCGAAAGATACTGAAAAAAAGATTTAGGGCTTATATACACACTAAGTCTTTAAATAGCAAATTAATGCATGCAAAAAAGGAGTACAACGACTCAGTGTTTAGCTACAACACCTATAGGTATGCTCTAGCTTAAGCCTATTTTCAAATTATTTTAGTGACTCAAAAGATGTGGAGTTGCCAATCTAATGCTCAGTTTCTCCTGTCTTTCTACAGAGAATTAGAATATAATAATGTCACAGACATAAATAAAGGTTGGCTTTATGGATTGCGCTCACTACAACAGCTTTACATGAGCCAGAATGCTGTTCACAGGATCAGTCCAGATGCATGGGAGTTCTGCCAGAATCTTCTGGATCTGTAAGTGTTCAAGTGCATTGCTCTGAAATCTGCTCTAGTTTTTCTTTCTCTGCTCCTTTCTTGATGATGACAGATAGCATGCGATTAAAGACTCCGCTGGGTAATCACTCAAGGTGGGGGGGTCATTTCCAGTTTCTTTAACACTGATGAGTGATTCACTTTTAGACATTAACTTACCAGACCAGTTTTTGTCTTCTTAGTGGATTCATTAGTCTCAAAATATACAGTTTAACCCTTTCCCTGCCAAGGACATATGGCATACGGCGGAACAACAGTGTTCCCGGCTGGCCAGGTCAGTATGCCGTACGGACCTGGCATTTACAGTTCTGCTATAAGCTCATGGTCAATTATCAATCATACCGTGATTTGGAAATTAAAGAGGGAAGCTGATTGGCTGCCGTGCCCAGCTGCTCCAAATTTTGCTTGCGTTTTGATAAATCCACCTCAGTCTTTTTAACGCTTAGGCATAAATCAGTGATACAAAAGTGCAATAAAACATGACCTTTTAAATGAAATGTTTACCTACTATATTTTATGTTTTACATTTTCATGCAGTACATTTAAAGTTTGCTCCAGGTTTTAAAAGGCAATTAAGAATAAAAGTTATGTGCCAATATTTTTCCAGCGTGTTCTGCTTTTCTGACAGTCTGCATATTTTCCTGTAACTCCCCCCTCTAGGGATGTGTCATACAACCAGCTGAACCGTTTGGATGAGTTTGTATTTGTTGGGCTGAGCTCACTGGAAAAACTAAACCTAGGCGATAACCGGATAAATCACATCGCTGAAGGTGTTTTTAAGGGCCTTGCAAATCTTGAGACATTGTAAGTTGCATAAAATGTTTTTGTCAATTTGTTACTTGAACTAAATTTGATGCAGTTAAAGTTAAACTCTAGGCGAATATAAAAGACACTGATGAATGCAGCTCTTTAATCAATAATACATCATTAAATGGTTTTGTTAAATGCAAGCAGTACAAATACCTGAATTTGACCTGGTTTTCCCCTTTTGCAGTCCCTGTATTGCACAGCTAGTGTGGGAGGAAAATGCAGCACAAGTAGCCAAATAAGTTCATGTGCTGATAAGAGAAAGCAGAGTGACAGAGGTGAGCTTATGGCTGTGCTGATTTTCCTTTCACTGTCCAGGCACAGTCCAGGACAACCTGAGTTCAGTGCAATTGGGTTGAATAATGCTTGCCATCAGACAGAGAACATCTAGTGGCAGAGATAGTGCTGGGAAATCTCTGAATATTGCATTAAAAGCAGTTTTTTTTTCATTTTCTTTAAATGGGCTTTTCATTTGTATCTTATTTTGGCTACAGTTCTGCTTTAAAATGGAACTCTAGCAGAGGCCTGCTCTGTCGCTTGAGCCAAATTTAACCTCTTGCTGTCCGCCCGTTAAGAAAAAACGGACGGACGGCAGACTCGCATCAGCGGGTTTACCCCTAGCGCGCGCACGGGCAGGAAAGACCCGCTCGTTACTACAGCCATTAACGGCTGTTTCACAGATACAGCTCTATAGCCGCCGATCGGTTGTATGGCGTGAATTTCGGAGCGCCCCCCCAATCGCGAGTGCCGCCATCCTGCGGCCCGGGATCCGCTAGCCCATCTGCGGCCCGGGACCGGCTCTGGAGGACGTCAGGAGAAGGAGGGAGGGAGATCAGCTCCTTGCTGTTCTCCCTCTGTAGTGTGAATGCAGAAGTGATGTGTATTACATCACTTGCGCATTCACCTGTCAGTCATCTGGCTCCTACTGCCAGGGAGAAGAAGCTGATGAAGCAAATCTGTGCTTCATCAGCTTCTTTTGGGGTCTCCAGGTGACATTAGGGGTCCAGAGACCCCTAATGTCTCCATAAAGAGGACCTGTCAGTGTACCTGTGCTATTATATAGGGGGATGGTAATAGCAATAACAATAAGTGTAAAAAATAAAATAAAAATAAAAGTCACAAACAAAAAAACATATAAACGTATGCATGTGCGTATGCATGCGTTGCATGTGCCAGCGTGTGAAAAAATGACAATTGCGCTACACATGTTACATATCGCCGCGACCGTCGCAGTGAGAGCAATCATTTTAGGGCCATCAATTACTGATAACACTAAACTGATGAGTTGTAAAAGCTTTTAATGCGTATTAATACACACAATAAAATATTTAGTTAATATAACTGTACAGCGCTCAAAATCTCCCTGTGAAATGCGTACATAAAGTGCATATAGAGTGCCTGCATATAAAAATATGGGACTGATAAAAATGAATCTCACCATAAAAATTGATAAAAAGCATATGATCAGTCCGAAAAAACAGTCCAATCCTTAATAGTGAAAGTTTGAGAAACTTAAGTGGAAGAAAGAAAAACTCCTTCCAAATCCAATTCAGTGCAGATCCAGCAACTTACTGTCAAACCAATTCAATGTGTTCCGATAATGAGTGCTTCTCTACGTGCCAAAAAAGCTCCCCCAATGGGTATGCACTCACCACAGACGCTTGACCGTATGTTAACAGCCAAAACACGTTTAGTAAATCAAAGTAACTTCAAGCATCCTCCTTCCTCATACTCCGGTTCTTTAACCGTGTTCATCCCCAATAATCAGCCATAATAAAAGCAAATTGAAACCCTCCATGGTGTAGTATTAAAATGTATTATTCAAGAAAGACAGTAAAAATTCACATTTAAAATTGTACCAGCCGGCCGGTAACAGTGTATAGCTCCGTCTCCTCAGATCTAAAGTGTGACGTCAGAAAGACCCGCCTCTGACACGTTTCGTCATTACGATGTTGTCAAAGGACGGCAGATCTGACTGGTCACACTTCATTACCCACTTATATCCCGGGAGTTGAAATTGATCTAATGAAATCCCATCAGGTGTCCTGCCAGATCAATTGTGGGTGAAATGTTCTGCACCTAGATGCTGAAGTAACACCCTTTTGTCCCGCATTACATATTACCACTAACTACAGGAGAATATAAGGCTCGGAGAGGGGACGAAAAAAACAAAGTCTAAATCAAAGTCAATATTATGGCCCCTAGGGACTAATGAATCTAATAGATAAATCCACTCCTTCTGCGATACTCTTCTGGTGAGGTTAGAACCCCTCCAATGACTTTCAATTTTATCAATACCCACCATCTTTAACCCTCTGGGGTCGCGACTGTGAAAAATTCTAAAATGTCTAGACAAACAATGTTTATTAAAACCTCTTTTAATGTATTTACATGCTCTTCTAATCTTTTTATACAGAATAGATCGATTTGATTTAGAGGAGGTTTTTAGTTTTAAAAAATTGGATACAAGCAATGTCCAAGATATCAAATTACTAAAATTTGCTCTAGAAAAACAATTCATTTTATGTACACCAACGCTAGAAGTCTAGTAAATAAATTAGAAGAGCTTGAAATTATGATACTCGAAGAGGACTTCGATATAGTGGGTATATCGGAGACCTGGCTAGACGGCACACATGATTGGGCTACTAATATAGAGGGGTATAACCTATTCAGGAGGGACAGATGTGGGAGAAGGGAGGGGGGGTTGCATTTACGTTAACAACTATCTAAATATGCATATAAGGGACGATATCACGTCAAACAGTGGAGAAGATGTGGAGACCTTATGGCTAGAGCTCGATATGGCGGACCCTTGCCGTAAACTTATTGTGGGTATTTGCTTTAAGCCTCCGAATATAGGGGAGGAGGGGGAAGCAAATCTACACTCTCAAATAGAAATAGCTGGGAGGGAGGGCAATGTAGTCGTGATGGGCGACTTTAATTATCCGGACATCAATTGGGCTAATGGTACCTCAGGATCGACAAAGGCAGGCCGATTTCTGAACTTGTTGCAAGACAATTTCTTGGAACAGATGGTGGAGGTTCCCACTAGGAAAAATGCCATCCTATATCTAATAATTACTAATAATGGGGAGTTAATTGAGGACATTGTAATTGGGGAGACACTGGGTAGTAGTGATCACAATGTGATTACTTTCAATATTAAATACAGGAAAGGAAAGAGGGCGGGTTGGACAAGAACCCTTAATTTCAGAAGGGCAAACTTCGGTAAGTTGCGCAAACTAGTGGGGGAAATAAAATGGGATAACTCATTTCACAACCTAAACTCAGACCAAATGTGGGACTGCTTCAGGAACACATTACATATTGCCATTTCAAAGCGTATACCATTGGGTAACAAAAACAAAATATCAAAGACTAAACCGATATGGCTAAATAAAACTGTAAAACTACATGTTAAGGCAAAGAGAATGGCATTTATAAAATATAAGATGGAAGGGACGGCATTGGCGTTCCTTAA